TCAGCAGGACAATAACAATTTGATCCTTGTCCTCCTCTCTATTTTGTAGCTGTTTGCAAGTAGATTAAGCCCGGTTATTTTCTTCAAAGCAATCTTTAGCTCAGGAGCATATTTGTCATGGTAAAGGCCGCATGATGACTTACCAAATATTCAATCAACTGAACAAACTGGCCATATAGATCAGGCAGAGCACTCAAGTTTAATTCAGTTATCAGTGTTTCCTTCTCCATATGTTCATCAATTTTGGAGAAAATATCGTTTATGACCCTGTTACACCACAAAACTTTAGACAAGGATAATATATTTCCTCGACTGAAACAGAACATAAACTTGCAAAGAAAATTCTACACTTACTGTCGTTCTCGTTCCCCAAGAACCAAAAAGTTTATGATGTTCTTAAAAGAAGCGTAGCACTCTCTAACTGCACAGCTCATGTAACTGTCAACGGTCAGTCTCTTTTTCAGCTCACGGTCTTTCCCATTGCTGTCTTTTGCCATATCCAAAGCTATTGGAATCTACAGAGCGTAAACATGTGTAAGTAAAAAATATAAACAGAAAACAGACTATTTAACATCGGCCATAGTGAAAAGACAGTCTCTACCTTACTAGCAAGTAGAAACGGTGGCCAGCGGATAAGATCCAAATCAGGGTCAGCCCAATATGGCACGAGAAGGAGTTCCATTTCCCTGCAGACTAACCAACATTATCACCGAAGTCTTTGGCAACTAAAAGGATTTAGCTCTCATTCACAGAATGAAAAAAAGGATGAACAACTCAAAACCAGATTTCACCTATGGCTAATCAAATCTTCTTCCCGGAAGCTACTGATCACTTTGTTCCACATCTGAGCAAACCGGGCCGCTTCCTTATCTTTACTAGATGGGATCTGAAGTTACCAACATATATAAAAGTCTTGAAATAGAGTTCTATTCAAGAGGGAATAATATGGAGAAAATATTTGTACTGACCATATGAATGTATCTTATATTTCAGCTACAGAGAAGTAAACAAACCTGATCAAACTTGCGAGAGAATGTTGCCTTAAATCCCTTTTTCTTCATCTTCTCATTCTTCTCAAGCGGAACCAAACAGGCATTAAAAGCCCCAGGTAAGGACTGAAATCTAGACCTCAACATTCCAAGAGTTCGGATCTGAAAGTGAAACAAACTTCTTTTCAGAGATGTGAAAGCATGCAAAGAATCCCTTATGAAAGCAAATATGCTTATTTCTTTCGAAAGCATCCATAGATACAGGAAATGTAAGTGTGAACCTCTCCAAGACGACGGAAAGCTCCAGTGAAACCTCCAACCAGAGTTGAAAAAATAGCGTACCATATTTGGTTGTCCATGAAATAGACCTGCCCAGAACGGTCAGCATATAAGAAGGAAGACGGCCATTAAAAAAAAAAGGAAATTTGGGAAAATAAGAACATGTGCAATCTCACAAGAATAATAGGCGCCCAGATCGCAATCACGACACCAATATTGCTCTTGGCTGCAAAAGCAAAAGATGATCAAATGTTTTAAGAAAAGAAAAAGGCAACTAAAAGAACACGCTAACATTGTCAACTGTCAAATATTACCATGAGGGAAAAACTCATGCCAGCGGTAGACGGATATATGAACTCGCATAATATCTTTGGTTGGGCGTATAAGGGGCTTAATCTGCATTGAAGATTGAAAAGATGAGAATATATATATAGGAACTGATATGAATGCACTATATTTCTCAGTGCAACTTACCATAGACTGTTATGCTTTCTAGTTGTTATAAAAGCTTATCATAAATCATAATCAATCTTGATGTGACGAGAGAACTATGGACTAAAGATAGGAAATTACCTCAGCATAATAACTGAAGGCCAGCTTTGAGATTAACAGGGTAATCCAGAACATTGTGTACCTAGAAGATAGTGGAGCATTCCATCAGGCTGTATATAAAGACTTGCAAACATTTCAACCTTATCATATTTGTTTTACTCTTACATGAGAAGTGACACAGTGCTCTCATGCATTCCCCTCCCTATATAAAGCCGAGGCTGTACCATGCCACCAAGAAACAAGATCGGCAAGTCAAATGCATGTTTACATTCTCACATTTTATTAAGATACAACATATAGATAAGAAGACCTTCATCGTGTTTTGCTTACCTGAGACCACCACATCACCAGCATAACAATATTATAGTCAGACCTTTCAAGAAAGCGTCGGATGAATGGAAACAAAAACAGAACCGCAGAAAGCATGTTGGGGGCTAAGTAGATAAGAACAGCCAGAATGAAGAGAGAAGGTGAACTACCGCTGTTCCCTCCAAACCAATTCTTTATTGTCTGTCCAAATCCAGAAGGGTTTTTCCAGCTGTATGCATAAGTTACTGGCATTATTACTACCCATGCTGCTGCTGATACTGCCTTCAAGATGTATCTGAGTTTCACATAAATTGACATGCTATGTCTTGCCTTCCAACTGAGAACTAGGTCCAGGACAGCTGAAAATTGGAGAGGAAAAAGTCAGAGAAAGTGATGGGAAATCGCCACGGGAAAACTTTCATCACAGACCAAGCTACATCATTCTCCTGTAAGATTAAACCTTGTTGATTGGTCAATGCAGTAGTCACATATGTCAACTTATACGTACAAAAAACCCAACAATACTCGATCACATTGGATATAAAATTGCTATGTACTAAAGGAAAGAGAATGTTTTCCAAGTCATGTTTAGCTCTCTGTGTATGTGTTAAAAGTAGGAAAATTGCTTCACCAACCACCCCGATGTCATGTATGAAACATTTTCATATTGAACTAGTTATAAAATGAGCATTGCATTGATATCAATATTGCAACAAGCACAGATTGCATGTAAAAACCCTGCTCAATGAGTTCTGAGGATGACATCTGTGGAGTAAGATGCGATCCAAAATATTCTTACAGAAATATTGAGGTGGGTTTGGAATAATAACTATAAAAAAAAGTACACAATACACAAGAAAAGTGAATGGATTAAAAGAAACAGAGCTACAAATGAATAAGTTCCCTTGAAGATGTTAAGATAAAAGGAAGCAGGAAAATTGATTCAATTATTCAATTGATTGTTCATAAGCCAAAAGTTGATGACATTAATTGGTGTATCATCACCTTGTGCAAGCTTCAATATAGCTGCAGTAATGAAGATGCTCAAGACCTTGAGGAAAACATCACCCTGAAAGATGCCGCTCAACTCTCCAGATCCATTCCATGCAATAATGATCATTGCCTAAATAGAATATAATTTGTCAAATAAGTAGGCAGGTTAAGAAAGTACTAAATTGAAAAGAATAAATAAAGTACAAGATTAGCATACCTGTAAGCACAGGATGTAGAAACTCCACATTCTATCAAAACTTCTAAATATGTGCCAGAAGGAGCGTATTTCAACAAAATTGATTTTCCCAATCGTTTTATCTCCTCTAACTGGTTTCTTCTGCAGTATTATGCACATTAACCAATGAGATATAGATACACAAACTTGAAGCAATTCTCTGGAATACAAAAGTTACTATGTGAGGCATAAACGAACATGTCTTTCTAGTAACTACAAGACAGAATGAGTATGCAAAGCTAAGGCAAAATATAAAATGAATACAAGAACTTGACATATATATGATCCATAGACAAAATAATTTTTTTTGGTTTGGTTAAGACACAAACAAGAAAACAAGCGACATCCATCCATTGGTTTCTCTGAACCATACCTCATCTTTGTCAACTCGAAACGTTTCAGCTGGCTGACAAAAGAAATCAGCGTCAGCTCGCATAGGCCATCCTAGGCGAAAACATCGAACTGACCTGCAAATTTTCAGGTAAACCAAGTTCAGATCTTGAACAATTCTGAAGCGTACCATGATGTTCCAATAGGTTATAATGTGGCCATCCGCGTATTTTACCAAAAGTATTCATTCAAGTCATCATAGTTTCTCCACTGAGAATGCTTTGACTTTCCTCCTCTACTCCGTTTTGCTTCCTGCAGTGCATAAAGGTGATAATGACAAGAGGAAAAGATAGGAAGAAAACTAAAAGATGCCAAGATGGTCAGAGCCTGAAAAACCAAAAGCAAGCAACCTTTGCTATTGTCTGGTAGATTGGAGTCACTATTTTCTGCAGGAAAGCCTCATCTTCACCACCATATGCTGGCTTTATACGCTCCCCAGTCATTGGACTTACACTCCCAGCCAGCATCCCATACAACTCGAATGCCATCTGATAAGTTGTGGAAATCCATGTTATGATAATCAAATAATTGAAATTAGAAGCAAGTAGAAGAGATTCCAAAATGACATGTGAATGATCAGGACATTGCAGAAAAGAAAAAACATCTAAACAAGATAAAACTGAAATAGACAGTTCTGCCGATCTCGCAGCACATTTCATGTTGTCCTTCTAACAAGAATTCAACCAGAAGCACATCAGTCTTGTTCTTTCTTCTCAACATTCTGTTTTGAATTCTCTTCTGTTCTCATTACTCAGTTTTGCAGATCTCTTGAATCAGACAAGCATATCTGAAATATTGTCACATACTTCCTCTATACTTAAAATGCAATATTTCAAAAATAGTAGGGGAGAATTTGAATCTATACGTGGTGATATATAAAACAAAGGCATTCTGGCATGAATCTCAGATTTGCAGCTTCTCCCCATATCAAAAGGTATAGTCCCATGTATAGCAACTTCCGCTGCTGTACTTCTTGTTGGATAGTTGGCAACCTGCCGATGATGAAAAGGAGTAATTAAATACGCAGTAAAAAAAAAAGCATATAAAATACAGAATATATACACAAGCCAATAGATTGGGATAAATGATAAAGGAAAATCCTTTGTATGTTTTACGGGTACGATCCTTACCAAAGGCTGCTTTTCCTACCCAAATACTTGCACCACTTCTTGTAGTTCTTGAAAAGTTTCTTCATCACTATAGTCAAGGCACGATCATCCAACTAACACAAAAGATAGGAGTTAGTGCACATACAACGGACAAGACACGATGAATAAATATGCGATCATGTTAAATCTACCTTTGGTTGTGCATCAGGTTTTGGAAATTGTCGAATGTGGACATTAGCAAGCAACAAAATCAAGTGTTCTCTTTGATTTGCAACACTATCTTTCTGCAGGTTACAGGCTGGATCACAATCAGCTCAGACAAAATTTTAATCAAGTAAAAAAGACGAGTAAATTGCTAACATCACCTGAAAACCAAACATAGCTTGAAGCCAGTCTAGTATGTCTTCATCCAGTTTCTTTTTGTGATTTGCCGGCCATGGTAAGCCCCTGGTATTGCGGAGTGCAGCTACAGCAGCTTGTATCTGACAAAAATCAGATGCAATACGATATTTCATCTGAACGAACAATCAAGAAGAAACCAGAAAGTCAATGGAGTAGCTGAATAACCTCAGGGAATCTCATTATGGCCTGATTCTGACTGTCAGGATCGAGAGGAAGAATATTATACGGAACATAGATCTGGGTTTTCTCTGCCACCTCAGTGTGAGCTTCCAAAATCTACAACACATCATGAAAGTATCAAGATGCTTCCAAGAAGTATGATTAGAGACTCACATAACAATAGAATCAAAGGGTAAATACTACAAGAAAATATTTATGATCAGTGAGCTATAATCTGAACCTCGTCAGCGACTTCCACATCTTCCGTCTGATTAACAGCCTTCAAGACTTCAAAGAGAACAGCAGCAGTTTGATATGCCTTAGTAAGTTGAGCACTGAAAACAAAATAATGCTATGTGAATGAAAAAAAAAAACAGAAGATTTATTGTACTGAAGACAAAACCACAAATATGAACAAATAATTCCTTCAAAGACAAACCGGTCAGCCTTATCAGCAGCACTCTGCAGAGCTTGGATGTATTTCTTGTAGTAATGTTGATAGAAACTTTGCATTTCACGGGCATCACTCTTTTGCCTTCCTGCCAGTGTTGTTTCATTCTCCTGGAGAGTTATCACAAAGAGGATGAATCGATAGAGGAGAGCAACACAGAATCTCCCATCAAACTTTTTACATGTAGTACATCAGAGGATCATAAAGAAGCTCAAGCTAGACAATGAAAACAAAATTCTACCCTTTCTAATCGTTGAAGAAGAGCAGTCTTAAACTGTCGAACACCACGTCCACTAGATGTTGGATCTAGCCTGTGTGCTTTCTCAAACGCATAAAACCGACCTGGTTGCAGCATCAACGTTTTTATCAAAACATTTCAGATGAACACTAAACTGTACCCGCAAAAATTTCAAAACGGGCAATCCGCAATGACCACCAAGCACTTGTGAAATGGTTCCAACTCACATAAGTAAGCAACTCGTGGGTTGCTGGCCTCTACTTCATTAGCCACGCGAAGGATAGGAGCAATCTCTACCAGAGAAGATGGCACAACCTCACTGTCAAGCATGGCCTCTCCAAGACTTCCAGCAGTATGAGTCCGCTGAATCCGCCTCTGCGGGGGAGGTGGATCCATTCCCCTTCTTTGAGACATCTTTCCAGAGTTTCCAGCAATTAATCTAAGCTACTGAGTTAACCTGTTTGTCCAAGAATAACTAGTAAGTCAAACAGACAAACGAATCTAAGAAACATGTCAAACGATAAAGTAAAAAACATAAACTAAAATGAGGAGAAGGAAAGGAAAATCAAACTCTAATCTGAAACACCGAAATGGTATATAACCAGTGACGAGGCAGCACATGAAGATATGTCCAAAACGTTCCCTTTTTCAGAGAAAATTAGAAACGCAAGCTAAAAACAGTAGCAGAAGAAGTAAAAGTAATCACGAAACCTCGCCCCCACCGTCGAGAACCTTAATCCCGAAAAGGCTTCAGCTTTCAGAATCAGAGACCATCTCCCATCAAATTCAAACCCTAAAAATCAATAATTGAGCTTCTTTCTAAATCTCTGACACAGACGCACGAGACGAAACGTGTGCCCTCTCCAGTGGTCGAGTGAAAACCCAAGTCAAAATTTTGAATTTAGGTTTTCGATAAGTCCAGCAAACCCATGAAACAACTCGTTTTCTCGGAGTCCAAACAAGGGAAAGA